TTCACCGTCGTTTTCCTACCGTTTTTACATCCTTTTTCTTCTATTTTTCTTTGCTTTTTTCTTTTATCTACTCCCAAACAACAAACAACCAAAAATATTCACACAGGTTTCTTTTCTTTGAATTCTTTCCACTAAGAAACGTTTCGGTGTGGCAACCTGGGGTTATCGAATGGGTTCGAGCGAAATGAATGGCAAACGGAGCACAACCGATCACTACCGTCAGCCCAAGGTCTATGACCAACGGATTTGGTCTTCAGATCTGCCCGCTAGTTCAATCTCGGGAGTATCTGAGGTGCATATTGGGGATTTAGAGCTGGAGGATATTGGTAATTAAGGGTTCTGCTGATATATTGGAGGCTTGTGAATTTCTGATTGGAGCATTATTGAACAATATGAGGGCCTATGTGTCTTCTGTCGAATGCAGAGAGTTGTATATGCAATTATTGTAGGAAAGGAAGTTCAAGAAACCTTCTGTTAAGGATAATTAATTCTCACCTCTATAGAAAATGTTACCTCCAGATACAATACTCATTAAACTGAATTTCAATCACCCAAACTCCGTAAACTAATTAAACTTTAAAAGCAAAGTCTGAAAACAAAAAAAAAATAAAAATAAAAAAAACAACCAGGAAACTTGAAATCTGGAGGAAGAAAAGCTATATTCGTGGGACTATCTATGCATACTTATTAAATTGGGGAAAGTATGTATCAATCCCAACTTCCTAGAATTCCAAACCAAAATCTGTTTCTCTTAATCCCCCGACTCCTACTGTTTTCCACCCTATTGCATCCCACTCAATCATCTCTATCTCCCCGTCGTCATTGCCTCCTTTCCTCCTTGATCTCCATAACAATACTACTAGAAATCTCTTCGAATCACACAAGATCATCCACTTGTCTGGCTAAAAATTTGTCATTGTTATCATTTATTGCTTGTAAAGCTCAGCAGTTCTCGTCAATTTCATCTTGACACATTTGCCACGAAATTGGAGAAGATTTTTTTGACTTTTTTGGTAGATATTTTGTAATTTTGACTTTATTTATTAGATTTAATATATTTTTTCTTGTTTTATTTATTTATAAAGCCAATCGGGCTGCCTCTTTCACCCATTGAAACACATGCAATTCTTCTCA